ATAATATTGTTGATGATATGAAATTGAAAACAAATACTTAAGATTTTATGGCATATTGGTAATTGTTTTTTACTAATTAAAAATGAAAAATTTCTCGTATTTTAAAGGTCATCCTATTTTACCTCTAGCCGATCTAGGTGATTAGTTTACCATATAAAATCATAAATATATAAATTATTATTATTATTATTATTATTATTATTATTATTATTTTCAAAATTGTAACATAATCGTTAATGAACCTAAGACTTCAATAAATATTTTCCAAAACAATAAAAGCAAGATAGTGTTTGAATTGTATTAACTCAGATTAGAATTTCTGAATAGAAATGATAGTAGCCCAAACTAAATGAAACCATTTAAATAAAAAGGCAACATGTTTCTTTTTTGAAATAAGTTCAAAACAAATGGTGTATTGGTGTACCATTTGAATTAGATTTGTTATTTACTATGAGATTTGTTTAAATTTGAAAGACATTGTTTGCAATTAAATAAAAAATATTAGAATTATTGTAATGAGAACAGAGTAATATCACGTGCCTTAAAATTATTGCTAGATTAAAATATTGACTTGTTTTAAAATAATATAAATATATGAGAAATAAAAATGTCACAAGTGTCCACCTCTAGGCGCTGATGACTGATGAGCTCACAGGATGCCAAATATACAATAAATAACCGAAATAAATTAAGAAAAATATATACTGTTTTTACCAATAAAATTTAAAGTATAGTTATTTTGTCGGTTTCTTTCGTTTTTCATCAGAGAATCAGTATTCTCTTGGTTAGAAAAATAGCAAAAATTAATTTTTGTTTCTCTAAATATATTGTAAGATCTAAATACTATTGAAATGATACATGTTATAATAATCAAAACTTATAATTATCTAATTTTATATTTTTTCTGAACCGTGTGTAAGTATACGTTTAGGATAAAATCAATAAATCCTTGTTAGTAATCTTTGTTAGATACTTTGTTAACCAGTGAGCTAGTCCCAACTTATGATTATTCAATTTTAATAATTGAAATTTCCAGAAAATATTGAAGCAAAGTTGTAAAGATCATAATGTTACATATAATTATTTTACATTTTACAATATCATGATCTTAAAATCGAAAAATCCTATAAAACTGAACTAATTTTTAAATTTGCTCGCACAGTCTATCAGGACAAAGCTCATTATAACTTGATGTTAAAGGTGAAATCAACTTTAACTTTTTAAGTATTTTCTATAAATTGGTAGAAACATGCAAACCACAACAATTAGAAAGAAAACATTTTAAACATAAAAAGAAATAAAATCATTGGGACCATGTAAAACTAAAGGCACTAGATAACCACTTGGGTTGTGACGACTTGGTAAGACATGTGGAAAATATGGTGGATAATCTATCGATCAATGTTCAAATCCTGACACTACTAAGCCTCTGTGACCATGAAGGTTCGCCTACAGTAACTCCAGGGCATGAGACATAGTCTCATATTCATAGCGATGGATTAGTCGGTGCGTGAAAGTTGGTCCGGAAACTCTCGTTTGGGAAGTTCCCTTTCCCTAAAAAAAACTAAAGGCATTGGATAACAAAGGGACTAGCACACATGTCACGATACTCTGTTTAATTTGAGATGAATAAATAAAGTTATGATCCTCTACAAAGCTTCATTTAATATGTAATGCTCGATTTCGAGTTGAATAAATGAACTTTTAAGGTTAGATTTCAATTCAAATGAGCAACTTTTTAGGTTATGTATGAGATTTTTATAGCAAGATAACGAATTTTCATATTAATAAGACTAAAGACTTGATTATAGAATAAAGAGAAAATATATTCGATAAAATCGAGGTTAGATCTTATGACCCTAGTTGGGATCCTAAGATGCTAAAACATGCATTACTTCAAAACCGGCCATAATGTGATGGTTATCATTTTTCAATAACCAAAAAAAAGATAGAAGAGAGTGTCATTGTTGGCCGGAGTTAAATGGCACATAGATATATGTGTGGGTTCTAATGACGACGGGAGGCGTTAGAGCTGAGAGTTGTGTGTGGCTTAAGTGATGTCAGTTATCGGACTTGTAAGAGGTAGTCATCGGGCTTGTAAGAGGTAGGATTGACAGAGAGAAAGAGCTATGGGTTTGGGAATATTTGGCATGGACTGTCGTAGATGGAGATGTCAAGAGCAAGAAAGGTGTTCAATGAGTAAAATGTTCTCAATGGGGTTGATAGCCTTTTAGGGTTTTTTTTTCAACTTTTATAGAAATGGTACCTAAAGTTATCAAATAATGTTAATAAAAAGTGAATAAAAAGAAGAATACTGATCATTTTACAGGCATTTAAATAATAAAAACTTTGAGAATTAATCTAGAAACCACATGTACAACTATTTAGAAATTTGGGAATGAACCACACCAAATTTTAAAATTAAGAATCAAAGTGCAAATAGGTGTGGGCATGTGGTAACGAGAAGGCCCTTGGGGTGGATGGATTTACTTTTAAATTCATCAAGAAGTATTGGGATGTCCTCCTTGGTGACTTAGTTGATGCTGTTAAATATTTTGAGCTCCATGCTAAACTTGATTCTTCTTGTAACTACTCTTTCTTCTCCCTAGTACCCAAAGTCAAGGACCCTCTATTGATTAGTGACTATATACCCATCAGTCTCTTTGGATGCATCTATAAAATCATCTCAAAGATCCTCTTGCCCATAATGAAAAAAGTGATGGGACAATGTATTTATGAGGTGCAATCAACATACGTCGAGGGAAGAAACATACTTGACAGGCCCCCTTGTGGTTAATGAGATCTACTCATGGGCGAAAAAATCAAACAAGAAAATTCTCCTATTCAAGGTAGACTTTGAGAAGGCATTTGATTCAATAAATTGGGACTTCCTCGATACGAACCTGATGCACATGGGCTTTGGGAATAAAATGAGGATGTGGTTAATAGGATGCCTTGGATATGAAAGATCCTCTATTCTAGTCAATGGAACCCCGACTGAGGAGTTCCCGTTATCTAAAGGTGCCCGACAGAGTGACCCGATCTCCCCATTGCTCTTTATAGCAGCTATAGAGGGCCTTAGTGTTGCGATGCGGTCAGCCTGTGAACTAGGTATCTTCCAAGGAGTTAAAAATCCAAATTGAGGCCTATTGATCTCTCATTTGCTATACGTAGATGATGCATTATTCCTAGGGGAGTGGTCGTGTAACATCCCCAAAATTTAAGACCAAGAATACGTTTTTAAATAAGTTATTATAAAACCATAAGTAATAAAACATCCATAATAACATCTCATGTCAAAAACCAAAGTAGAAATAATCAAAACATGTTATCATAAAACAATATCAGAGTGCAATCCCCAAGATCTCATGTGCGGAAATATAGTGTGATGCATTGCGATCAAGTCGACTCCTTTCCTTTGAAAATGAACTACCTGAAACCAAAACTGAAAATCGTAAGCACAAAGCTTAGTGAGTTTCCCATCATACCGCATACCATACATATCACATACTGCCTGGCATATCTGGGTGCCCGCCCTACCGTGTCAGGCATATCTGGGTGCCCGACCTACCCTGCTGAGCATACCGGGGTGCTCAACCTACCCCACTGTTAGGCATATTTGGGTGCCCGACCTACCCTCCGGTGTATCTCAACTGGTTACGGGGACTATTTCACCTTTACCACTACCACATAATAACACAAGATAACATAAACATACTGTCTAGCATAGTTGGGTGCTAGACTACCCCTTTGTCCCTATCGAACGGTAACCAGGGACTATTCCCCGTACTACCACTATTGCATAACGTCATATCATGCTAGCACATAAAAATATCATATAGTAGTAAACCTAGATAATTATCACAAAGACAATCATCTATCGAACAACTCCTATTGATGGGCCGACATTGTGGTCTTAGACCTATTTCTATTAGAAGGTAACTCACCCCACACTACTGAAGTCCCGCAGACCCAACCCCAGTTGCTGGATGACAAATTCCCGAACTGTCATCAATCAAAATAACACCCAATTAATAACTGGGTTCCAACTCATAATCATAATTCCATGCTTAGGGTTAAAGACTACTCTACCCTTAACTTCGCTTGATTTAAGCCCAAGGCCCAATCCAAAGGCCTAAAAGTCCAACTATGGCTCAAAGCCGAACATATGGTCCAATTTTCCAAATTGGGCCCAAGCCTTTACATGTCTTATTCAAATGCCCAACCAAAAAGTCCAGTCCAACATTTGGTACTAATGGCCCAATATCTCATAATCATAAAGGCACAAATTATGGCCCAATTTTCCAAATTGGGCCTAACCCCTTACATAGGTCTTACCCTAAAGCTCATTTAATTATTCTAGTCCATTTGCTTGCTCTTGGATGGCCCATTAATATTCCAATCATCAAAGCCCAATAGAAAGGCTCAACTTAAGGGCCCAAGTGAAATTAGGTTTTCAAATAAAAATGATGATTAGGGTTAAGTGTCCCTACTTAATCCATTAAGTCCCACATGAAATTAGGTTAATTGCAAATGGTTATTAATTACTATATTAAGTTCATTAAATAATTCTGATGTGTTCCCGATAAGTCCCAAATTAGGGTTTCATGGCATTAGCGTTTTCCAAACCCTATTTAGGGTTTCCAACCCATTTTAGCCCAATAGGCCCAATTGCTATAGGGTTCATTAGCCCCATTATGATTTCACTAGGCCCATTAGGGTTACAAGCATCCCAACTGAATCAAACACAACAAGGCAAGGCACACCGCCACCCGACACGGCGGCCGGTGGCAACAGGAGGCAGCAGCTACCACCTTACAGTGGTGGTTAGGGTTTCTTTTCATTATTCACATTTCTAATTACATTTTACAATGCTAATCTCCAAAATAACTCACACAACTAAGCTAAATACACACACACACACATACACAACCACCTTGTGGTGGTCGGCGGTGGCTAGTGGTGGCAGCCACCACCTCATGGTGGTGGTGCTGGTTGTTCTAGGTTTTCCAGACAAACAAGTTACACACATAACACACACTACAACAAAACGAACACCCACATGCTTTCTTGCTTGCAAGCGGATCCAGCCACCCTCCTGGTGACGGTTGGCGACGGTAGAAGCATAAACACGACGACAACAGCGGCGGTATTGCGATGACAGACACCATGGTCGGCTGCCCTGGTAGTTCTGCACGACCCTTCTCTACAGAACTTCCCCCACAGCACACCCACAACACACACGAGCCTTGAACCATACCACCATTCACCGATGATAGCAGGAAACGCCTTGAGTTCCTCCATCCACAAGGCAGCAGGCGAACCTCATCAACAGTGGTGGCACCGGAGGAAAACGAGATTGCAATCTCATTGATCTTCACAACCACCGACGACAACAGTCGCGCCTTTGAGCTCCTGGTCTCCCTTTCTCGTATGCTAGGACCACGGTTGTTGCCTTCATCGGCAGCAGGAGCAGCAACAAGGAACGGTTCCGCTGACACCATGGTTTGTCGGTGACTTGGTTGGTCGGATAAGCAATGAGGTAGGGTGGCGGCCGGTGAGGGAGGCATAAGGTGGCGGTTGGGAATAGTCTTCTAGGGTTAGGGTTTTCTTAGATCTTTATACCCGACTCCACTCAAGAGTTTTCCATTATGGAAACAACAGTCCCTCCACGCCCTTTTTCATTCAAATGTAATCCAATATTTACCCTTTCAACCCTGGCTTTGGAAATCTTCTTCAAATTAAATCTGATAATTACCATTTAAACCCTTAGCATTAAAATCCTTTACACCTTAGGTACAAATTTTACTATACAGCCCCCAATATCTTAATTACGACATAATCAACCCTTCCACCTCATTTCCTTTTAAATTAAATCCAAATAATTACCACGAAGCCCCTGTCTTCATAAATAATTATAAATTGAGTCCGGAACTTACACTTTTAACCCTCAACTTCTAAATTATGTCAATTAGCTCTTCGAGACCATCCTTTAATATATAATTGTTTATTTTAGGGCTACTATTCGTTCATTAACTTATTTATTTATCTAATAAACAAACGGGGTGTTACAGGTCGAGGAAAAACATAAATAACCTAGCTCATATTCTTCATTGCTTTCATGTCGCATAAGAGCTAACAGTAAACTTCAATAAATCAAAAGTCTTTGGAGTTGGATCAGAAATGCAGGAAGTCTCAAACTAGGCCAACACCCTTGGATGTGAACCTTCCTCACTACCTTTCACATACATAGGAGTTCCTGTTGGAGCCAACATGAACTTGGAAGAATTGGGAGCCGAACATAGAGAGATTTCAAGCCAAACTCTCAAAATGGAAATCAAAACCCATATCTTTTGGCGCTATATTGATCCTTATCCAATCAGTCCTTGGTAATCTTCCAAATTATTTCTTGTCATTGTTTGTAGCACCCGATGGGGGTAATCCAAACTCTCGAAAAACTGAGGAGTTGGTTTCTATGGGGTGCTTTGGACGAAAAGAAAAAAATACATTGGATCTCGTGCGACAAGGTGGTTGTAACCAAGGAATCGGGAGGTTTAGGTGTTGGTATGATAAAAAGCCTTAACGTTTCCATATTAATGAAATGGTGGTGGAAGTTGAGAACTGGACCGTATCATCTTTGGGTGGAATTCATATCAATCCTACACAACCTTAAGTCGAAACCTGATGACATCTACTCAAAGAGATCATTAATAGGAATGTTGAATAACATTGCTGGGATAAGAAAGGCTCTTGTAATATATATATATATATATATATATATATATATATATATATATATATATATATATATATATATATATATATATATATCCGTTTTGTGATATTTAAACAACCCACAACCAATGGAGTAACATGGAGATGTGGACTTACCCCCATGGGAACATACACATTACGTGCTCTTAGACAGAGATGTGATTACAGGGCCCGCATCACCGAGGGACAATTCTGTTGGCTTAAAGAAATCCCATTGAAAGTAAGTTGTTTTATATGGCGGGAAAAATGGGGACGATCCTAATCGCTTTGGAGCTATCAAAGAGAGGGGTATTTCTGGAAACTTTGACTTGCCCCATGGGCAATGAATATGAAAAAGGCGCTAATCATGTCCTAGTGGATTGCATTTATGCTAGGATTGTCTTTGAAGGGGTATCAAGATGGTGTAATACAAATATGGAATTATTCCACATGGTAAAGGATGTCGTGGATTCTGTCTCTTGGTGGAGGATGTGTAAAAATAGAAGAAAGATTATCTTGGCAATCTATTATGGAACAGTATGAAGTATTTGGAAATCAAGGAATGAAAAGGTCTTCAAGAAACTGCAACTACCACCGGATAAAGTCATCAATATTATCAAATCAGTGACTTATCTGTTGGTGAAAAACAGGGGAAAATCGATAGGTTGAATTGGGCATCAGGGTCTCAATGCCTATTGTTTTACTGACCATTCCAAGTTATGTCTTAGGCCCCATTTGATATTTTATGTCCGGAAAAGTATTGTCTGAGAAAGTGTTGTATGAGAAACTTTTCTAACTGGGAAAGAAACCATGTTGTTTGATTGTACATCTGATTGATTGTGTTGAATGATGAAAAATGATAATATTACCCCGTTTTTTTAAACAGTGATGGATGAAGTTGCTGAATAATTATGAAGACATACAAATTGTCATACAAAATCAAAATTACATAATAATCATTTAAATTCCAATTAGAATGTTGATTAAGTTGTTTTTAGTTTTTTTTTATTTATTTTTAATTTAATGTTACGTCGTTTTTCTTTCTAGCAATTAAATTTTTTTTATAACTCACATGTGATTCTTGAATCGGTTTACGCCCAATAGTGGTGGGATAGATGAATTTTTTTCAAAATATATTAAGATGATAGTAGTGCTATCCAAAAAAATAAGAACTATTCCAATAAAAATGAATTAAAAAAATTAACTAAAAGAAATTAATAATCCAATAAAATAATATTTATTAATATATAAATATTATATATTTATAAATAATATTTTTTAAATATATAATAATCCAATAAAAAGAATTAATTCATTAAAAAGAAATAAAAAAGAATTATTTAAAAGAATTCAACCAGAAAAATATAGTTTTGAAACTTTTTAGGAAAAACATATCTTACCGGAAAATACATATTTTTTTGTGCATATCACAAATAGTCTTTCCGGTCCATTCAACCAGAAAAATCTGTTTGGATTTAGAAAGATGTCTATCAAACGGAACCTTGGTTTCTTTGTTTTCTTTTGTTCCTTTTGTTAAACCCGGACTATTGTATGCCAGTCACTGTGGCTAGTTATTGTTCTCCTGTTTATTAATATATATATTATCGGCCGATTCCAAAAATAAAAAAAAATAGCTGTACATCACATTTGACGTTAAAAAAAAAATTCCTAATTAACTCCAAATATTATGAAAAACTTCACGAAAGCATTTTCCATTGCTGTCCCTATATGTACATCCCCGTGTCCCACACTATAACTTCAATAGAGGACAAAAAATGTTATTTTAAATGTCTCACATGCACTCTCCATCAAAAGTGAGGAAGGAGGTAACAATGATACAATCACCGGCGGGAATTGATTGAAGACATATTATGCTATGATTTCAAGGTCTCGTTGACTTGAAAACTTACAGGATTGCCCCTTAACTATTCAGTAAATTACCATTGCCATCTCTTAAGTTTATATATTGCATTAACACTCCTTCAACGATAAATCATTTAACTCTTTGATCCTTCGATTGTTTACTCCACTATCGAGTAAAATGATCTTTTTATTGTGTTCACAAACTATCTTATATTAATATTTAAGATCCCCATTATTAATTCATCGATTGAATGGATACACAATGTATTTCAAAAGTGATTTATCTTATTTGATGAAGAACATAAACCAATGGTCCATTTTGTAATTTACCAAACAGAAACAAGTCAAACTTACCAAAATAAAAGAAATGAATTATTGAACATCAAACATACTATGTTCAACTCTTCATTGAGTGGTGTACATTACTTTATTCCACTAACTACGGATCACAATAATGTGACTCAATTTTTAAAACTATATATATACATTAGATATAATACAGTAATTCTGTTATATAATAAAAAAATTGTCGGTGTAGAATGGTGGGTCTACAACTATGTAAATCAAGGCTTGTGTTTCTAGTTAAATTTCATTCATATTGTTGCTTTTACATAACGCAATATCAATATATTCCATTAATTGTGTCATACGCAATTGTTAGATTCCCAAAGGAATCACTTCACTGTTCTATGACTATTCACTAATAACAACTATGAAATGCAACATTCATATTTTAGTTGTATCATCTTAACTCAAATATAAATGACAAGAGTCACATTCCCTTGGAAATAATTAGCATGAAGTACATAAATCCAATTACAAATGTCATAAATACAATATCAGAGATGATGCATGTACTTCGTGCTAGAAGCGATATACATGAAATATGAATAATCTACATCGCGATAGCATGTATGAAACATGCTTAAATAGCATAAAATCGTAAACATCTTTATTTGGCTAAGACCCTTTTTCATTGGATATGTGGGTGCATCATCATGTGCAAAGAAATAATTCTAAACCAAAATGTCAAATTCAAAAGACCCAATTTGGCGTGTACTCACATATTATACACAAAAAGCACTTTTACATTTATTTTTTCTTGTGCTTTATTGCCTTGATTCATGGAGTAGGTTTCTCCAAACCATAATCCATTTTAAGTTACGAATCAATACTGTATACTTTGGTACTAAAAGAAACCACAATGTCATTATAAATGACCTAAACATGATAATACAATATTTCACAAGGCATTTCATGATCGATGAAGTGCATATTCAATTGTCATTGTATGTTCTATGTACTCAACTTAGATATGAATTTCTTACTTGAAACACTTTCGTTTGCTTATTTTTATCGTTCACAAAAAGCACGAATGTTGTAGAGATAGAGTATTTTTGATGGACTTTCGTTGAAAAGTGACAAGATAAAAGGTGGGAAGGGACTTTATATAGGTGGGGGCAATTTATTTTCTCTTTGTGTGTCACAAGGTATGTGGTATACGACCCTCCATGTATGGTTATTTTGGTGAATAATTTTATATATTGATATAATATTTTCTAGCCCGAAAAGTCATTATAAAATTGAAACTTGAGGGATTCAAATATGAAACTACTCTTTTAAAGTGCTTAATTTCCAAATTATCAACACTAAAAGCATCTCCAACCTTCCGCCATTTATTATCTTATTTTGGGGATATGAATAGTATTACACCAAATATGGTGTTATACTATTTATTTTCCTTAAAATTGGGATGAACTTTACGTTGTCGGTTTTAGTCCCTCTATTTATATATTTATACATTTTTAGTTAATTTTTAGCTACTAATTATAATTTAAATATAATATTTAATACTTATAATATTTGTTATATATTAAACTATATTAATTAATTATAAATATAAAGTTTGGTTTTTGTTCTTCAAATTCATATAAAAATTTAAATACATATTGAA